CCACTGCCACGTGCTGGAAATTTTGCAAATTTCATCTGACCGAGGAATGTCCAGATGTTAGAAAGAGAGGAAAAAGGAAAGAAAAACACGAAATAAAAGACCCTGAGCAGCAAGGTGCCCTCGCACACGTCCGTTTACCGACGAAGCAATCGTCTCAGGTTCCGCGCTGTCATTTTTTCTAGGGTCTGAAAACCCAACACCTGTATCTTTTTGTGATGCTAAATTCAAGAGTGTCAGCCGCTCTGTAAGGGGCAGACGGGGCTTCTCGGCCCTGGCGCTGTGACGCCTGGGCAGGTAACTGGCACGGGGCCCGTGCCGCGTGCTTTGGGAAGATGGCGGCACCCCAGCCTCCACCCCTAGATCCAGCAGCGCCCCAGTAGTGACAAACAGGGATGTCTGCAGACGGCTCCCACCATCCTGGTGGCCACCAGGCAGCAAGGCCAATGGGCCAGCCTCCGAGGGGCGGGGACACCCGTCAGCTGGCATTAGAACGAGTGTACGACCCATCGGCCTGGTAGGAATATTAATGGAACCGAATTCTGTTCCAGATCCCCTCTCTCGGGATGTGCTTCTGCGAAGAAAAGAAGGGGGGAAAGTGGGAGCTGGCGGCCCCCCCAGTGACGACGCTGACCCACGGCTCCAACTCGGCGTTTAACTGGAGGAGCTGGGTCCTGGGCAGCTGAGGCCCTCGGGCCTGCGCCCTGCGTGCGACCCGCAGCTCCAGGGCTGCCTCGGTCTCCCCGACGTGAGGTGCAGAAGCACGAAGCGCACTTTGAGAGCCCCTCGGCCGCGGGGTGCCACCCTGCCCCGCGCGCCCCTGCCACGCGGCCCGGAGGTAAACGAGGAAGTTTGCCTCTGACGTTCAGGAATTAAAGCCCCACCAGACCCACGCGCCAGAAGGACACGCCGCTTTGTGCTCTATGTCCTCATGCGTCAAGTCCCCAACCCTTTCCTCCTGTTTCTGTTCCCATCACTCCGGCTACGTCCACACGGGCGGGGAGGGGTGGAGGAGTCAATGAGACGGAACACGAAGCCACACAGCAGCCCCCAGGGCCTGCTTTCCTGTTGCTGCTATGACAAAGCACAGCAGAGCGGTGAAGATGGCACGAATTTTTTAACACACACACACGCACACGATCGGCTCTGGGGCAGCTCTGGAGCTCAGGCGGTCTGAGGCGGGCCAGCAGGCGGCATTTTTTTTTTCCTCGCCCGTCCAGCTCGTACAGCCACCCCGACTCCAGCCTCTATCTGCAAGGACGGTGGTCAAACCTCCCTCCCCTCTGCTTCTGACCGTCCTGTCTCCCTTCCGTAAAGTCCCTTTGATGACATTGGCCCACAAGATAATCCAGGATGACCTCCCCATCTCAAAATCCTCAACTTGTCTGCGGCCATGCCACCCCAGACAAGCCCGATCCCGTCTGATCTCGGAAGCTAAGCAGGTCGGGCCTGGTTAGTCCTTGGATGGGAGACCACCTAGGAAGACCAGGTGCTGTAGGCGTAAAAAATAAAAAAATAATAAGAGATCGTAAGCTGACCAGGTCTTTGCAGTCTGTGAGGTCCACCAAGGGCTGCCTCGCCTAGAACGTGAAAAAATGGAAAAGGAGAAAATAAATCCTTAACTGGTCCCACCCGCAGAGCCCCTTCCACACCCTCGCAGGGCGGGGATTAGGACGAAGATGCCTTTGGGGGCCGCTCCCGAGCCTGCCACTTTCCCACACACCAGGCCGCTTTTACGGGGCCCGGGCGTGAGAATGTGAGGGCCCCCACCTTGGCACAGCTCCTTTTTAGCTTCTCTTTTCCCCCTTTCCGATTGAGTGGAGGCGGAGGCGGACTTTGCACCAGGACAGAGAAACCAGAGGGAGACCCGCCAGCACAGTGAAGTCCGCCCGGCGGGTGAGTGCAGTGGCGCCTCTGGCTTTGAGGAGTTGGTCCAGGCGGTGGATGGGGGTCTCCCCAGTGGGGTCCTATCGCCCCATCCCTGCTGAAGAAGAAGTCATCCAGGTGCCCAGGGGCAGAGCATTGTCATTGTAGGAGGTGCTGCCCGCCCCGCAATCCCTCTGTGAGTTCTTCTGGATACGCCGGTGCCACGCCGACCGTGCCGATCAAGGTCAGAAAGATGATGTCTATATGTAAATCGGTCCCCAAGGTGATCACAGTCTAATCAGAATCGTGAGAAGGATTTCTTAGGGAGAGAGGAGTGGATTCCAAACTTCGTGTGGAAAAACGAATATCCAGGAAAAACTAACGAAATCCAAAAAGAGAAATGGGATTAGACACGGTCTAGAGCTACAATAATGGAAACGGTGTGGCAGGAACCGTGGGTTTTAGATAAAGAACACGGATGTGAGCAGAGGCACCAGGGGCTGGCCCTAAAACCTGTGGGTGACCGCACACGGTAACGCGGGCGACGGAGGGTCAGGGCAGTTAGATGGTTAAGTCGACGGTGTTGGGACGATAAGGCCACCATCTGGGAAGAAGAAGGTTGGACTTATCCTCATTCATTACACACACACACACACACACACACACACGCGCACATACACCCCACACACACGCACACACGCGCGCGCGCACACACGCACGCACGCACACACGCACACGCACACACCCCACGCACACGCACGCACACACACACACACACACACGCACACGCACACACACGCACGCACACGCGCACACGCACGCACACACACACGCACGCACGCACACACACACACGCACGCACACGATTTGAACATCGAAGGAAAGTGAACTCGTGAAACTATCAGAAGACATCTAAGAATTTCAAAAGTCACCTGAGTGGGGGGGGTTCTTTGTAAACATGACACAAAATCCCAGACTATAAAGGGAGAAATAGATGTGCTCAGCTGAGACATTCTTAAGTCTGTGCTTTAAAAAGCACCATAAGCAATGTTTTCCAAGTAAAAGGCGAGTTTGCAAAGCACCCGCCCCCGCCCACCAAGGGGCCCCCTCTGAACCTCCAGGGCACGTTTGTCCTAAAGACCCCAGTGTCTTCCGCAGCAGTCCGCTTTGTTCTGCCGTGTACTGTCCCTTCTTTGTGTGGACAATGCTTCAAAGGGTTGCGCTCGTGAGCACGTGCCAACCTCACCGCCAGCCCGGGACCTGGGCGGCCGCGGCGCGTGGCGCATCGGACCGTGATGCACTTGCGAAGCTGCTCCGTCCGTGTCATTCGGTTTCCCGGCCGCAGCCCTGTCGGCACTTGGGGATGACAATTCTCTGCCACGGGGCCGTCCTGCGCGCTGTGGGATGCTTCGCAGCACCCTTGGCCTTGCCCCAGTAACACACCAGTTACGCCGCCCCACCCGTTAGGACAACCAGAACGTCCCCAGATGCTGCCAGTGTGCCCGGGGAGCCAAGTCACCCCGACTGAGAACCACGGATTCTCAACGAGTTCCCCTCACAGAGGGGCGGAGAGCCGGGTCCCGGGTGGCGTGTCGAGTGCTCGGGCTCGCCACGACGGGCAGGGGGTGCCGCCGAAGCCTGAGTCGCTGTTCTGTCCACCCGCTGAGCATGCGTACAGTTATAGAGACGAACGTCAGAAAAAGACCTGTCCCCGTCTTCAGCTGAGCGGCTGGAGATGCTCCGAAGGGCAGGGTTCAGCGTACAGAGGACAGCGGAAGTCCAGGTGTGACCTGGAACTTGGGGTCACACCGGTGACAGCGGCGTGAGCCTAGGTGGGGGAGCTGCACGTGGAGCCAGCCAGGGCAGCACTGAGTGGGCCCTTCCGTCGTGCTGGCCAGGTCCTGCTGATGGCCGGGCCTCCTTTCTACTCTGTTAGTCCATTTGACCGAGGCCCCCCAAATTCTAGACCTTGAGGGTGCGACATAAACTCTGCAGAGTCCTTGGACCCAGGCTTCCCATGGCGGTTACCGCAGCAGAGGCATCTTCTCCTCCACCCCCACCCCAGACCCTTTCCTTGCTCCCCCAAGGGCCAGCAGGCAGCAAACGCCCACCAATTCGTGGGGTATCAGGAAGGAGAATCCGGTAACGGAGACCTTTGTTATCCAGTGTAGACGGACACCAACAGCAGCACCATGTGACAGGGTGACGCTGGGCCCCAGGAGACCTGGACTTGACCCCAGGTCTGTCCTCTACTCACTGAGGGCTTAGGCACGACCCCGTGTGCCTGGGGGTCACGGCTGTAACACGATGCAGCCTGTCAGCAGGCCGTGGGCCACGGCGTCCTGTCCCTCTGTCCTGGAGGAGCTGTCCCCTCCTCCGCAGGCTGACCTGGAGCGTCTGTGTCAATCTCCACGGTCCCGCCATGGCTGGTTCCAAGCCACCAACGTTTTAACAATCAATTTACAAAATGCCCCAAAATTTAAAACGGCTCTCGTGAGCTGGTCCGAGCGGCCCAGCCAAGGTCAGCCTCGGCGAGAAGGGACTCGCACGGCCGTGCACTTCAGGCTGGCGTCGCTTCCTGCCAAAGGAACAATAGTGTCTCCAGCACGGGCCCCCAGCTGGCGGTAGTTTGTCTCATCAGCCCCAGGGACTGACACGAACATGCCATGCGTTTGGAGAGGGCCGATGGGGAACCGGACGTTCACGGCGGCAGGACAGCACCCCACGCCTTGCTTTGAGCGCAAGGGGGCGGGGGAGGGGTCAGACCACCACCCTGTCCCGAGCCGGGGTCCCCACGGACAGTGGGTCACCCGGACGTGCTCTCTCTTCTGATTAATGGAACGGGACCGGTGAACTCAGCTCACCGCTCACCTCCGACGGGGCCATCGGGCCGTGAGCTGCAATTCTGGACAATGAGAAACGGGGGTGGAAGGGGCGAGGGAAGCCAGGTGCAGCCCGGCGGGGAGGTGTTCTGCTCAGTCTCCCCGAAACCGGCAGTGCGAGGGGGCCGTCCAAGAGAAAGACTGGGGGGCAGAGGGGTGTCCCAGGACGCGCACCACGCGGGGGCCCCTCCCAGACCCTGACGGCGTGGTCGCACCGTGACGGGTTTTTGTGCATTCTGCGGAAGTGAAGTATTTTAACCACGGTCACCTAAGTCCTCTGTCTCCTCTCTCTCTGACTCACTCAGACACGTGTCCCCGCACAATGAGCGACACTGGAGCGAGCGTGGGCATTTTTAGATGTTTAGGGAAGCACTGAGCGAGCTGAACTGGGGAGAGTTAGCGTCTGGGACGGTGGGACACACGGACATGGTTTCCAGCGGCTTCCACGTGTCCCCTTGGTGCCAGCTGTTCTGGAATAACTTCCGGAAATACTCTCGCCACCCATTTTGATCACTTACCCACCATTGTGACAAACGGGTGTGGGGTCACAGGTCAAACTTCAACATGAATTTGTCCCATGGGTCCAGCAGCCTCGTATGTGGGGTGATTGCATCCTCAGCCGTGTACGGATGTGGGGGCCAGTCCTTGCTGGCGCCTAGACAAACCGGACAGCCCGAGTCAGCGGCACGAGGGTGCGGCCCGTCCAGGTTTTGGCGGGAATCACGGCCGTGGGATTTGTTACAACTCCTGCTTGTGGTGCACAATCCCGTAGCAGAGTTACGAGCAGCAACATGTCCAAGTGTGAAGACAAAGGTCGCATGCCACTCTACTATCAATAACTAATAAACCACACTACAGGAACAACTGTAATTATCTTTTTCATCTCCCTAGAGAAAACATTTCAAAATTAGTGTCGTAAGAAGAGGCAACCGAAGAGCACTCTGAAAAAGCGGCATTGTGGTGCCACATCAGGCAATGAGCCAACGGCGGGGCCGATGCCTTTCCGGATGCGGTGAATGTGTCCACTTTCTCCTTTGTCCTTTGTTTGAAATTTCTTTTTTTATTCTAAACAAATGTTTTAATGTGATCTTGTATTCGTCACGCTGTACACTTTTTCTCGAAGTGGCCCCGTGTTGAGGGTTAGCAAAGCCAGATGCAGCACGGGACCCGGGGCTGGGCAGGCGAACCGCAAGGACATGGGATGGAGGACACCTGCCTTCTGAGTGGCTCTGGGGACAGAGGAGGCCGGCTGAGGTGGAGCTGGTCATAGGGAAGGCAGGGGCTTGTGACTTTTCAGCACCGGGGCCTGAACTAGTGGCTAGGGACATAAAGGAGGAGCCAGGATGGCCAACGCTCAAGAAATTCGAAGGCGGCCTAGGTGATGGCCTCCTGGCAGACCTGAACAGTGTATGCACAGGCCAAGGCCATGCCTGCGGGCAGCCCCACCCTTCGGCCCTCACGGGGACCCATCGGGGGACCTCAGAATCCACAGGGACCTGCTGACACTGTGGGAAGGGCAGGAGCAAGGCCTCCAGCCGCAGCTGCCGGCGTCGCCCGAGCCCGGAGTGTGTCTATGACGCGATGTTTCAGGAGAATCGCACCCAGAGGATATTCACCCTGCAGCTGCTCCACCAGCCCCGCGGGGGACACGCAGCACCAGCTTCCGCGGAGTTAACGGCTGTTTGACCGTTTGTACCAGGGAAAACACCAGCGGAAAACCCAGGAATAAACGAGCCTGTAGTTCTCGGTTTAAAGAACTTGCAGTCGAGGCTGTTTCACAAACAAAGCATATGGAGGAAATTTATTTGCAATTGGAAACCATTTTCACAAACGACTAAGTAAGAAAGGTGAGTCATCGCTCGGTGTTAACCGCGCGAGGGACAGGCATCTCGGTGGCCGGCTCCGGGCTCCGGGCCCCTCAGTCTGGAGGACCCATTTGTTTGCTTTCTTCCTCTTCAAAACTCACATTTCCTGAGAAGAGAGGGGGCACATGAATGCATTCGATAACTAATATTTTTCTATTTAAAAATGTTTGATTTGCTAACAGATCTGTAATAAATAATATAAATATTAAACATTTATCAGGCAAAAAAAAAATGGAGTGTTCATTTTTATACAATACAGACGTTTATAGCTTCCCTTCTGGCACCAGGTACAGACAGAGCGAGGCGAGGCTGCCGGTGGGGACCCGCCCCCCCATGTGTCCCGCGGGGGGACTGCTCTCCGCCCGTGCCACACCCCTCCCTGGTGCCGGCCCTTCCGTCACCTCTCAGCCCTCTCAGCTCACCTGGGGTCCGACCCTCCCAGAAACACTTCCTAATGCCGCCCCCGGTCAGTCAGGCCCCCGGTCCTGTTCCCGGCAGCCACACGGCTGTCACGCTGCAGTCCAGCCGCGATGTCCCGTGAGCGTCCCAGCAGTCCCGTGGGGCTGAGCTCTGCTGCTCAGATGCTGTACGGACAGGAGCCCACAGAGCCCCGCGGCCACTGCGCCTCCGAGGGGTCCTCCTCGCTGCATCACGTGAACGAGGGACGCAGGGAGGGGAGGGCAAGGGGTCACCTGGCCACTAACTGGTGCAGCCAGGTTTCTACCCCAAGACGCTTGGCCGTGGCACACAATTCTTGGTGTGTGACTACAGTATCTAAGGTCGCACTGCTGACGGAAGCCCGCTCTCTGTATGTTTAAAGTATTTGGATAAAAAATGCTTCTATGTGATTTAGTTCGGGTATTATTTTCAAAAGAAAGGGAAAGCTATTTGCTCTTAATATACAGCAGAGACAAACTAGGTCGCCCAGGGTCCCAGGCCCGGGGACCACAAACGCCAGGCTGTTCCCGGACCATCAGCCACCGGTGTCCGCTGCACAGAGACGCAGGAAATCGTTTTGAAGGAAGGGAACCCTCGCTGCTCTTTCGGGCTCTGCCCTCAGCACGCGGGGACAGATGTTTACAATTCCAAGAACCGGGAGCCCAGGTTCACTGGCGGTCACACCCCTGCCCCAGACCCGCCAGGCCAAGCTCCTGGATTAATGGCACATCAAACCCACTTGGAAAGGGCCGGCCCCCGGCAGCGCCAGTGCCTGCGCAGGGCCCCGCGGCTCCGCCACGGCAAACCGTGGAGTGGAATGATGCCATGACGTCCGTTCCCAGCGGGGCTGTGCAGCCCAGGCCGGCTCTCCCGGAGGGGCCGGCGGTCAGCGAGAGGTGGACGCCAGGGGCTCGCCGGGTCCCCGCTGGCGCTGCCGCCCTGGGAGGTTTGCAGGAGCGCCGAGCGGGGAGCAGCCTGGGTCCCTGGGGGTCCTCGGAGACCCCGTCCCGGGTCCTCGGGCCTGGCCCAGGGCTGGCCTCCGCCAGCTGCGCCCCCCCTTCGCCCATCTCCCCGGCCCGGAGCCCGGGCTCACCCTGGTCCATGGAGTCGAAGCGGAACTCCTCGCGGTCGCTCTCGCGGGCCTCGTCCCTGAAGGACTCGCCGTCGTCCTCCGCAGGCCGCAGGAAATCCTCGCCCTCCGACAGGTCGGTCAGCGGCTGGACCTCCTCCCTGGACTCCGTGCCGCCTGCGAGGAAACGGAGGAGGGCGGAGTGGCGCGGAGGGCGGGCCCGTGCCGCGCATGCGCCCCGCCTGCCTCTGGGCGCCGCCCCGCCCAGCTGAAGTAGCCCAGCCCCGCCAGGCCTGGCCAGCAGGGCGTCCCGTGCCCAGTCACAGTGACTCCACTTCCCACGGGTTGTGACCGCCACCTGGAGAAGGGGAAGCTCTCCGTTCCCAGGGTTCTCGAGATGATGGCGATGAGCTCTGGTCTCCAAAGGGAAGAGGACAGAGCCAAGGCCCAGAGAGCAGACACCTGCGGCCTGATCCAGCCGCACCTGACGCTGTCCCGCCCTGGCCGTCGGCCCTGTCAGTACCGTCCCACCGGGGCCGACGTGAGTTGGGGTTCAGCCACGTCCCATAGAAGGACGAGCACCCAGTGCGACCTCCTCCACCGTGCCGGTCAGCTCGACCCTTTCTCAGGATGACCACGGGGATGGGCGTGGAGAGGTGCAGCCCAGACCCTCTTCAGGGACGGGCTAGTCACCCAGCTGCTGTCACTGCCTTGCCCGAGGTCCTGCCCACAGCTGATCACTGACCAAAGGACAGTGTTTTCTATTCTAACTCTGGGGCTTCCACAGAATCAGCCAAGGTTGTTGGGGACCCGCTCTGCACCCCGGGAAGCTCTGGTCCCAAACGCTCTCCTGAATGTCGCCCCACACACAGAAGGGACCCTGCGTCAGCCCCTCAGGGAGCCGGCCCACAGCCTGTGCAGAGGCTGAGCATGGCTGGTCCCGCAGCCCCGTACCCTCCAGCACTGGAGCCTCTTCCTGGCCAGGCACGTCCGTGGATGGCCGCCCCTCAGGCAGGCTCGGCGTCCACAGGGCCAGTTCTGTGATCTTGGTGGCTTTCCATTTCGGAACGACAGCTATTAATGTCTCCTCCTCCTCCTCCTCTTCTCCTCGCTCCTGTTTTAAGTTTAAAAATGTGAATTGGCGGAAACTTTGTATGGAATCCTTAAAGCAAGGGGAGAAAGAACAGGTTTTTAATCGTATTTGAGCATTTTTATAACACGACTCGGTGATCAGGTCGATTGCCAACCATCCAGTGTACAATCTGAGGGTTGAAAGGGGCTCACAAAGGAACCAGGATGAGAAACGGCGGTGCGGTGGGGCTCTGCGCCCACGCTCTCCCCTCCGAAGCCAGGACATCCCCAGGCTCTCTCTTCCCAGCTGTCTGGAACGGTTCAGAAATGACCGAGATAAATGCCTTTTTCAGCGGCTCAGCCACATTTTCCTGCTCTCAGATACTTTATCTATAATAAAGCCAATATCACGGTAATAAAAGGCCTAACAACAAGCTAAGACAACCCTAGAATGATATCAGCGGGCAGAAACACTAAAGCTCCAGTCTCAGGACTTACGGAAGGAAAATAAATTCCAGAGCAGCCACTTTCCGACGCTGCAGCCCACAGAGGAGACCCATGGGCCAGCCCCAAGCACAGACCCGGAGCAGCACCCACGTGCTCATCTCCACCCCCAGCTCCCCCGAGATTCTCTACTTCGTTCCGTTTCACGTTTCAAAACATCGCTCACAACCCACTAAACTGGCGTCGTGACTCAGGAACGGGCTGTGACGTGTACTCCGAAAGGCGTTCTACGGCTATAGCATCGGTAAACTTTTCTGTCACCGATTTGGGGTTTTGCTGGCCCTCTGGTGTCTGCAGCAACCACTAACCTTGAGGTTGCAGTCCAGAGCGGCCACAGGGGACATAGCCAGCATAGCTGGGCGCCAGTAAGACCGTTTACAGAGTCACAGGTAGAACCCCGCGCCTGCGGGGGGGTGGTGTGAAATGGTGCCACCGCAGTGAAAACATTTGGCGCTTCTCAAGAAACGAACCCTAGAATTACCAGAGGACCCAGGAATTCCACTCCTAGGTACTCGCCCGGAAGAACTGAGAAAGGTACTCAGACGCATCGTTGCCACCCGTGGTCACTGCAGCAATATTCACAGTAACCAAAAGGTGGAAGCATCCTAAGTGAATGGATGCACAAACAAAATGTGATGCAGACAGATGACAGATGATAGATAGAGATAGATAGATAGATAGAGAGATAGATAGATAGATAGAGATGATAGATAGATCGATAGATAGATAGATAGAGATGATAGATAGATCGATAGATAGATAGATAGAGATGATAGATAGATCGATAGATAGATAGATAGAGATGATAGATAGATCGATAGATAGATAGATAGAGATGATAGATAGATCGATAGATAGATAGATAGAGATGATAGATAGATCGATAGATAGATAGATAGAGATGATAGATAGATCGATAGATAGATAGATAGAGATGATAGATAGATCGATAGATAGATAGATAGAGATGATAGATAGATCGATAGATAGATAGATAGAGATGATAGATAGATCGATAGATAGATAGATAGAGATGATAGATAGATCGATAGATAGATAGATAGAGATGATAGATAGATCGATAGATAGATAGATAGAGATGATAGATAGATCGATAGATAGATAGATAGAGATGATAGATAGATCGATAGATAGATAGATAGAGATGATAGATAGATCGATAGATAGATAGATAGAGATGATAGATAGATCGATAGATAGATAGATAGAGATGATAGATAGATCGATAGATAGATAGATAGAGATGATAGATAGATCGATAGATAGATAGATAGAGATGATAGATAGATCGATAGATAGATAGATAGAGATGATAGATAGATCGATAGATAGATAGATAGAGATGATAGATAGATCGATAGATAGATAGATAGAGATGATAGATAGATCGATAGATAGATAGATAGAGATGATAGATAGATCGATAGATAGATAGATAGAGATGATAGATAGATCGATAGATAGATAGATAGAGATGATAGATAGATCGATAGATAGATAGATAGAGATGATAGATAGATCGATAGATAGATAGATAGAGATGATAGATAGATCGATAGATAGATAGATAGAGATGATAGATAGATCGATAGATAGATAGATAGAGATAGAGACGGATGGATGGATGGATGGATGGATGGAGAGAGAGAAAGACAGACAGACAGACAGACTGACTGACTAGGTAGACAGACAGACAGACAGACAGACAGACTGACTGACTAGGTACGTAATGGAAATTATTTAGCCGTGAAATGGAGGGAATTCTGACACCTGCTACGACATGGAAAACTCTGAAGACATCGTGCTGAGTGACACGACCCAGACGCAGGAGGACGGATGCCGTGTGATTCCACTCACATAAAATGCCAGGCTGGGCAAATTCACAGAACAGGAGCAGGTCAGAGGTTGTCGGGGGCTGAGGGGTCGGGGGAGGAGCTCGCGTTTCATGGGACAGAGCTCAGTTTGGGGCGAGGCCACGTTTTAGGGATGGACGGTGCCGATGGGGGCACAGTGTTGCGAATGTACTTAATGTCGCTGGGTTGTGCACTTACGAATGAGTAAAATGGCAAATTTTACGTTCTATGTATTTTACCAGAAATGAAAACAGAAACGTCCGGGTTGCCAGCTGTGCCGCAGCTCGTCATCCCTCCGCCAGAGGGCATGCGTTCCCTTTTTGGGGCCAAAAGAGAAAACGCCGGCTTTTCTGTCCCATCACAGTCTGACCATCGCCGGGAGCACAGTGGTGGCCGCAGACAACGGCCCTCGAGCCGTGTGCATGATTCACGGGTTCGCTCCTGACGGGAACAGTCCAGGGGCCTAGATCGGTGGGCCCCCCACCCCCCGGTGTCACCGATGTGCTTCCTATCTCCTCATCACCTTCTCATGTGTTTTATTTTTTATCACCTTCACAAGTTAAAATAACTGCTCCATCACCAGTAAGGCTCCGAAGGCCAGATTTGCTGCTAGAGGTGGCAGTGTGATGACCTTAGCAGACAGGTTCCTGCAGGCGCCGGGTAGGAGGTTCCAACCCCAGGGAGAGCCCAGCGAGAGCACTGAATACACTGATGTCACAAACCAACAGCAAAGCCAGTCGCCGTGTGTCAAGTCCGCGACTGCGTGAGCAAGGCGGCCACACGCACAGACACACGCGCTGAGTCGCAGGGCCGTGTGGGAGGGCGCCACGTCCCGGGCGACTCCTGGGAACACTCGTCACGTGCAGCCTGGACGCCCCGCGATCCAGGGAGGAACAGTGCTGGGGGAGCTGGGCCCTCGTTCTCAGCAACGACATCAAGCGTTTGGGCCATTTCGCATTTCGTAATTGACTAGGAAGACAACCGTGGCCACGAGGCTCGGCCGCTGCAGCAAAGGCGCCGCCCAGCAGAACGGGGCAAAGGCCAAGGGCACGGGTCGTCCTCAGCTCACGGGGATTCTGGTCCCGGCAGAGAGGGCGGACATCGCCTCGCAGACCTCAGGGGGCCATGGGCTGTTTTGAGGAACAAAGCGACTGTGGGGGAGCGACCGGAAGGAGAGAGAACGCCACGGGAGAGGGGACCACGAAAGGAGGGTGCCCCGGGGCCTGCCTGGGCAGTGGGGCACCCTGGGGGCGCAGGGGTGCTGGGGTGCCCGAGGTATTGCACTAAATTGCCAGTTATCTACAGTCTTCGGTCAGGTAACGACGACAGGCACACAGGACACAGACACCCTGCCTCTGCACACACACGCAGATTGGGATGCGTGATAATGACGATATTAGCTAGGAAACTTAATATGAACCAAAGAATATCCATGTCGTAGTAATGGGAAGTATTGGAAAAGAACAGAAAGAGAAAATTCTCAGTGGTGCGAGCCGCTCCCTGAAGCGCTGAGTTACTGGGTGAATTCGGCGACACCTCGGTGACAGACTTCCCTTGTCATTTCAGGGACCTAACCAACTGTCAGAGGCCTCTGGCTCGGGATGAGCTGGTTCCCCCGCACGGGAACGGCATCCAGACTTTACCAACGACTCTAAAACAGCATCGTTTAGTTCTGGACTAACACACGCCAGTGAGGAAGGAAAGTGGACATGAAGGTCCCCGCGAGCTGGCGTAGCCGCTCGCCTCGTCGGTCTGCGGGATCGATGGATGCCACTGAGCTGCCCCCGCGCCCACCAGTGCAGGAAACCGCATGTCCCCTGCCACTTACCACATCGGTGAGACGATATTCCCCGTGCTGCTCGCATCCAATATCGAACACGTACTTTCCGGAGCCAACGGGCTAGGAGCAAAGGGAAACCAAGGGGCACCTCACTCCTGGGTGTCAACTCCCAGGACAAAGTGCAAAATGCTTTAGAAACGTCACCCCCGAAAAACCGACCCGAACCATGTCATTGGGGAAAGGCTCATGGGCATCAAAGAATGCCTTTGTGAACTAATGGCCAACAGAAGTGCCAAGTGCAGGGTGTGTGTCCCCCCTTTTCAAGACTTGAACTGCATTTTATCTCTTTATAAAAGTAATGCATTTATTACAAACATTTCACCAAGCGACACCCACTGGCAAACTAGTGAGAGAGAGAATTATTAATAATATTTTGATATAGTTTCTGTAACCTTGTTTCTAGGACACGGTTTGTTTTTGTTTTTTTTTAAATAAAATTCTGATCATAATTACACATATTGACTCCTACTCTATTTTTACTTAGAATTAAGGCATGAACGACTTTCCATATTTACAGATATCCTTCCACGATCCCAGTTGTCAACTTGGTATTTTATTGCATCTGAGAATTATAATCGATTTTACTTGTTCGCTGTTGTCAACATTTGATCTGCTGACACTTTTCTTTGACAAAGACTGTTACAGGAAACACATTCAGGGTTAAATCTTTACGTGCGCTCTCGATGTATTCCTCAGGGTAAGTTCTCAGAAGTAACGTTTCTGGACAAACAGTATGTGCGATGTATGAACCAGAACGAGATGCTGAGAACGTTCGTTCCCAGAACAACATTTACGAGACTCTGAGTCCTCAAAATCTTGTTTTTCCCTAAGATTTCGTTCCATATTTTCCTGTACATATATATGGAATGAGGCTTCATCATTGTAAGCCACATCTTTTAAGTTACTGGCAGGGTTCAATTTTTTTTAACATTTCGACCATTTAGATCACATCGATCGATACGAGCGCTTCCTATATTAAACGTTGAAAATATTCAAACCTCATTTGTCACCTATCTCTTAAATTCTCCTTATAGCGTTTTCTGATCTGTAAGGGATTATTTTTATCAGGCAAAATCTCCTGGTTTTCCCTTTCTATTTCTGTGTAGAAAGTTTCTTTCCTCATTTCAAAGTGAATAAGTAGTCACCTGTTTTTCTACCTGTATTTTCTTGTTTACATTTAAATGTTTATTTCTTCTAGAAAGTATCTTCGTCTGTGTGCTGGAGGACAAACTCTGATGTAATGTTTCTCCCAAATGGGTACCAAGCACCATCTCTCCCCATCACCTCTTCATTAATGTGAAATGGCGCCCTCATCGAACGCTAAATTATTGTACGTACTCGTGTCTGCCTCTAGACTTTTTCTTTCGCCAAGCCGTCTAGCTCTATCCTAACGTCCCATGATTTGAATTACTGAAGCTTTATAGCATGTTTTAATAACTTGTTGGCAGAGATGTAAACAGGTCACTCCCTGAGGGAGAAAGTCAAAGCAGCGCTAAGTGTGTCGAGACCGGACTCACCAGGAATCAGGGGAATGAACATTAAAACGATGAGGTGACGTTTTTTTACCCCTTAGATTTGCAAAAAGTGTTGAAGACTGATAATATCCAAGGTCGGCGAGGACATGTGCTGAAGAGCCGCTCGTATCCTGTCAGCCCGAGTATAGACTGGCACAGCTCTTTAGAACAATTGGTAGCATCGGTCACGACTTCAAATATCGATACTTGTGGAGTCGGCAACTCCAGGATCTAACCTACGTGAATACTCCCAACTTTGCAAAAAGATAGGTGCTCTCTGTATGTGTTTGTGTCCCGATGTCGCGCGATCCTATTTCGGTAACTAAACCCCCCGCGCTGTGATTCCGTCTAAGCCGTATGGGCGTGTGCGCATGCGGGGCGCAGGAGGGTGGGGAGGGGGCGCGGCAGGGAGAAGGGGGGGCGGGGGCCGGAGCTCAAGGAGGGGGGATTCCGGTACTCGCGCACGATTTCTATAACTTTAAAGGGTTCACAGGCAGCAGAACGAAGCCTCCACTTTGGCTCTCGTTTTCCAGATGCATCTAAGTTCCCCGTATCCACTGATACTCGCCTGTTAACTTCTGTCAAATCCTCTTTCCCGCCACCCACCTCCCCACGCCGGAAGGTATCCCGCAAGCATTTTGCTGGGAGTTACATAAATACATTTGAGGAGAATGAGCTGTTCTACAAAGACTAAAAACGGAATCTGTAATTAGGGCATGAATTATACGTGAATGAGAACGGAGTTTTAAGAGGGTCCGCGGCCACTTCATTAAATCGATTAAGTGTTCCTATGCCAACTGCCAGCACCTCTCCTTGCTCAGCAAACTCTTTCTTCGGGGAAGGTGTCTGCTCGCCCCCTGACCAGCGCCATGACGAACGCCAGCGTGTCAGGGTTTCTCTGCATCCTACCACGGCTCAGACAAGAAGGACAAGTGAAGCCGCCGTGTCCTCCCAGCAGAGATGACTGATCACGGGTTCTGTGGACCCGGAGACTCGTCCGGACCACACCGCCACCAGGCGGGGTATGGTCTTCCTGCCCAGGCTCCAGCCTCCAGCCCCCAGGGGAAAGAAAGTCAAACCCGCACACGCTCAATGGCAGGAAATGTCCAGATGCCCCAGTCAAATGAGGACCTCTGATTCACCACCCGCCCCCCAGAGAAGGAGCACACACAGCAGGAGGTCAAGGGGCCCCGTGTTCCGATGGGACAGACCGTGGCTGCAGGAGAGTGGGCATTTTACAGAGATGCAGAGAAACAGGCCAAGCGTACCCCTCCCCCCCAGGGGGTGTCAGGATGCTCGGAGAGAGGCAAAGCTGCCCCATTTCCCGTGTTCAGAGGCGATGGGAGGGTTTCCCCAAGCTTTCAATATTTTCCGTTCCCACGATCACGCAGCCCGGGGAGGAGGGCGCTGGGTATCGCACCGGCAAACTTCGCTTCCCGCCGACTTACGTTTTTGTTCACGAACTTGCCCTGGTACCTGTGGTTCGTGTGGATAAGCTCGGCCGCGCCCTCTTGCTGTCCGTTGACCCAGGTACCCACGTACCTGCTGCCCGTCTCTGCGTAGACATAGGTGCCTTGGCCGTGCCTGGGTAAGACAGCAGCACAGTGCATTTTGTTGCCCAGCAGAGGAAAACCCTCCAGGTGTGTAAAACGGGTATTTCCATTGAGGGGGAGTCCCAGGCTGACGCGGGCTCACGAGCCACTGGTTCTGTATCTGCTCAGTCAAGCATGCCTCTTGCTCGGTGTGCCCAAGCACGGGGAGGCGTCACCTGCCAGACAGTGGGGGACCTTCCCGCAGGTCAGCTGGTGCTCCCGGGGAAGACGCAGCTGAGGCTCAGTTCCCCAGAAAGGTCTGTGTCCTCACGCCCCACGGCCAGCACCTGCCCGGTACTGCGTCGTCCCAGAGGCACCCCGTAAAGCCGCCATGGGTTCGAACGGCCTGGCAGAGCCGGCTCAGGGGCTTCTGTCATGTAAGACACTGCCATATTCTTATTACATGAATCGATCTATAGGACCGACGAGAAGCAAACCTTTGGTGAGCGAGCCACTCCCCAGTGTAGGTGTCGTTGTTGACGTAGTAGTACATGCCGTGGCCGTGCCTCTGGTCATTGGCCCACTCCCCTGGAAAGGGCGACACAAAAGCAGCCCGGGTAAGAAGGGAGCACCGTCTCCACCACCGTCTCCACCCTCCCTGACTTCCCTCGGCCCCTCGCCTCCCGGCCGGATGACGTGAAGTGTGGAGCCGGCTAAGGGAGGCTGGGTCGGGGGTCCGCCGGGGACGGGGCTGGGCAGGTGTATGTGTGGGGGGCCCAGTCGGCTGTCGTGCGAACATCAGGAGTCAGCCAGTCGGCCACACGGCAAGGGTTCAAACCAGGCTTGTCTGCCCCGTGGCCGCGGTCCCAACACCACGCTCCTTCAGCTGGTGTGTGTTTGGTGACCCAGCCACCACTCCAAGGCTCGACGGCCTGTCCTCGGCCACTTCCCACCTCGCCACCTGGCTCAAACGCGCCCTTGCAGCCTAGCCGCCCACGGCGGCCCCACACAGCTTCACGCGGATGGGCAGGGCGCCTTTGCCACCGGGGCCTCTGCGTGGACCCTTCCCTCACCCGAGTGTCCCTGCCCACTCGCCGCCGTGCAGGGCCCCGCTAATTCCTTGCCGACTGGATAGGAAATACCGAAACTAGCAAAGCTCTCATACAACGCGTAACACGCCTCGACCACAAAACAGCAGCAAACCAGCTAACAAACGCCGCCAGGTAAAAGGTGCCGAAGATCTCCCTGCACTGGAAACTCACAAAGTCCTCAGACCTTACAGCCCGCACGTGAGGGAGCTTAACAGCGGCTTCCAGAGCTGACAATCACCCCGAAACTGGACACGGCACTGCCCGTGACAAGTCGTCAAGCTCTTCTAGGTACATGTGTGTATGTACACATTTACACGTTGTTCAAATTATATTAACGTCTACGTTGAAATAAAAAGTGACAACAAAGTGATTAGGTTCATGAGGATGTGGAAAGAATTCAATTAAACCCTAAACTACATCGTTCAAAGTCGGTTTAAAAAGTGACAGCTGCCTCCTGAGACCTACAAAGTGACACAAAATTCCGGC